TGCCTATTCTTTGGTGTTTGCTCATTCATTACATTAATTGAGAATAAGATCATGAGGCTACAGAATCCATGTTGCATTTAAATGATCGATGTTTTTAGAGATGTTTCTTGGATAATACCCGACTTGCGATGCCAAAAACGTCTTATGATTTTGTGTTTTTCTGTGACGTCATTTACAATCTGAAGAAGCAGCTCTTTCTTCACTTTGTCACCTTTATATTTTAGCAAACCTCTTAGGAAACAAAAGGCCGTTGTTTGTGACTTGTGATTGGTGGATTGCGATCCGTTTTGTGTGTTTCTGTGTTTCAAGGGTCGTTGCTTTGTTTTTGAAAAGTACCGTAAGTTTAATCTTAGTTCTAAGTTTTGTTAATTTCTTTACACTGAAACGTGATAAGTTTAGATTCCAAAGGTGAAATTTTTCCTATAGAGCTTTCATATCCAGAGGAAACACAGATACAGAAGGGTCAAAACGAACTGATACGTTCCCACTAACATTTAAATTTGCTGACAAGCACAGTGGATACTACGGTAACAGTTTAATTGACGTCGCAGAAAAGTTTAAATTTGGAGCATGCTCAATATGAATTGTCGAGGATGTTGGCAGAGGTTTCTACCTCTTCTCGACTTATCTAGGAAGATTGAAGGAGACTCTGTTCGCAGGGTAGGGTTTCAAGTCCTTCAGTTAAAAAGTGGAGGAGCCTCACGCAACGCTCTACTTCACTCTCCTCGAATTTCACTTTGGCTTTGGAAGGCCAGTTGGTATTTCCCAAATGATGTTGGCCAGCTTTAAAGCGTTTGGTACTTTAAATTTAAAGAGCGATAGTAGGTCTCCTTTGGTTAAAGTGTTCCTCATATCTTCTAAATCTGAAAGGGATGTACTTTTGACAGTCTCTAAAGCCTGTGAAATGTCAGATCTCTTTCTTTTCCACTCTCTCAAGTTATTAAGAAATAAATTCTCAGATTGATCCATGCTGTTAAGTCCAAACAAGTGCGCAATAATAAGGCAGATGCAGATAATGCAAATTTCAACAGATTGTTGATTCAGTGCTTCCAAAGCAGGTGCAGCATTGGCGTGCCGCTTACCATAGTTAGCGCGGCTTAAGGATGGACTATTAGAAAAGTTATGGATTGGCGCGCGCGGAAGGGGGAGGAGGGGCAGAACCAAAAAACAAAATTTGCCCAGGAAATAATAATAATAAACGGCAACATTTCTCGATATCTATGTGCACATATCAACTCTGGCTACAAAATACTTCTTTACGCTATCTTTGGTCAACTGTTCGCTCAAAGATGAAACAATTTTCTTTGGGTTTTGGAAGCTTTTTTAAGGCTTGCACTGCAGTTTGTGCATCAACATTACAGCAGTGTTTCATTGTGAATGTCGCCAAATTTGGCATATTTAGGAGAAATGATAAGTTTTGGATTATACAGTTGTAACTGATGTGCAGTTCTGTTAGTTCAATACATCAACCTATTGTGGCTTCAATATATTCGGGTTGTACTTCCAGTTTTAGTTGCCCCATGTAGCCCACAAAGGAAAAACTTCTAAAGAAATGTTGGAAAATGTGATCGAAGCTTGACCTTGTGTAATCAACGGTAAAGCAAAAATGTCTCCACAGAGTTTGGTTGTCACAAATGTGTTGGAATCTCTTCCGTATTGGTAATAAATTCATTAAAAAATCGGGTAAATGCAGGAAACTAAAAATCTTTAATAGTACCTCCACTGGTAAATCGCACAGTGTCAGTCCTATATAAAGTAAGTAAATGCTTTTTGAGTACGCTGTTCTTAGATGATAATCAAAACCACTACATCATGTCTTGTTTTGAACCAGAAACTTAAAAGTATTCTTTATAAAATTACATTTAAGGAGAATGAAAAAAAAAACACCAAAAACTAATTGCACTAGAATGACATAGTAGTGTTGGTAGAAAATTAAATTTTGGAAGTGATCTTTTACTGCACAAACCGTTTCAAGACCGACCGTTGACCTTCCTTGTGGAAACCGCTTCGCAAACCAGCATAGCATTGCAAAGAACTTTCAGAAAGCTGTCCCTCTCCTCTTCTTTGATCTTGACAGTAATGTGTAAAAAGGACAAATTAAAACAGAAGCTAGGTTGATTCTTTGCACTTGCTTGCCAAAGCGATGGGCAAGATAGACACAAATATGGACACTAATGGAACAAAAATGTATGAAAAATCCACTCACCCAAAGTCGTTTGGGCGAAGACAATTGACTAGAGCCGATCATCGTTTGTTATTTACAGAGTTTAACAGGAAAAATTAAATGATTTAATTAATCATTATTTCCAGCCTGAACAGGGCTACAGCCAACAGTGTTTCTTGCTACTTGAAAAGCTGTGGTCTCATATTATTTGATGTTGACAGTTTGGTCTCTTGATTCAACTGAGTGGTGGCTCGCCCAGGGCAAAGGTCCTTTTATAGGCAGGGTCCATGTTTAAGTGGAATTGGGATAAAACAAAGTATTCATCACAGGTTGATCTGGATTAATATTCTGCTCTTAATAAACTTGTTTATTCTTCATAGGTATTGCAACTGGTGTAGCAAACTGAACAGGAAGTGACTATCTTGAGACAATGGCAAAAAAGTACTGTAGATACGGTCATTTCATTAGTACAGAAAGATTTTTTTCCCCAAAATACACTCCTGATGTGTTACATTTTTTCTGTAATAGTGATTCGCATCATATTTAACTTTATTCAAAACAATGATTTATAAAACAGGGTGGTATCGAGAAATTGGTGAAGTAGCCACACAAAATCAATTTGCATGAAATACAGGTTAACAACTTCTCCCTAATACTTCTATAGGAAACCTACTGGGGCACAAAATGAGAATTGAAATTTTGATGTTAGGGGTTAAAGGCCCGTTTCTGCCAATGATGCCGTTTCCACCATTGAATTTCATGTAACACAGAAAGAACTAACCTTTTTTTCATTAACTTTTTCAAAGCAAATCCTGTACATCCTATGTGTCCTCTGACATGTGTTGTCACTGCTTTACCCATCCCTCTTAGCATATATTCTTTTGGCGTTTTGTATATAGTCATGATGATAAATATTTGTATTCTGGGTAGAACGTATTTCGTAGAGCGGTCAATTCATTCAGTTGAAGAGCATTGACTATTCATAGTCACAGGAGTTCAGGCTTCAGGAGTAATCATTGATCATTTATTGCAACAGTGCTGTTTCGTATGTTTCGAAATTGTAGGACCTAATAATAAACTGTCGTATGTCCACCAACAGAGCAACCACCCCCCGGCACTACTAAAGAATATCCTACTCAACATTAACAAAAGGTTAACTAGCATCTCATCCAGCAAAGAAGTATTTGATGAATCCATTGCCTCTTACCAGAAAGCTCTAACAGAAAGTGGATATGACCACAAGTTAGCATACAACCCCCCACAAGAGAAAGCTCTCAAAAACAAAAGAAGACGAACAAGAAACATCATGTGGTACAACCCTCGTTTCAACTCGAACGTCAGAACTAACTGTAAGAGAAAATTTCTGCACGTTGTTGACAAATGCTTCCCAAAAAACCACCCACTCCACAAGGCACAAGCTAAAACTGAGCTACTTATGCATGCCTAACATGAAATCTGTCATATCGTCACACAAGTACGTTCTTTCAAATTTCAACTCACCAATGCAACAACCTGACACCTGCAATTGCAGAAAGAAACCAGATTGTCCACTCGAAGGAAAATGCCTCCAATCAAATGTAACCTACCAAGCCAGTGTAACTACAGCAACGACAACTGAAATTTACTTTAGACTGGCAACAAACTTAATGGAACGTAACAGAAATCATCAGTCCTTGTTTTTGACGCTCGAACAGAAGAAATGAAACAGAACTCTCAAAATATATTTGGACTTTACAAGACTCTAACAAACCTTTCCAGATAAAATGGAAAGTTTTAAAGAAATGTAAAGCCTATAGCAACATTAGCAAAAAATGTAGTCTTTGTCTTTATGAAACGTTCATCATCATTTGTAAAAAAGAGCTTTGTAGCCTAAACAGGCAAAACGAACTAGCGAGTTCATGCCCCCACAGAAATAGATATGTACTTCAGAACTCTTGAGAAACGTAACTAAGACACAATCCATCTGTTAGCTAGATACTATCTCTTAACGCATCCCTATATTTCACTGCCAGCTTTGAATTTTAACGGTCAATCGTTGAAGTTGCCTGATGAGAGTGGTCCTACAATTTCGGACCATACGAAACAGCACTGTCGCAGTAAACGATCAATGATTACTCCTGAAGCCTGAACTCTTGTGATTATTAATAGTTGTAATGATATATAGGATGTTAAATTTTGCTGTTGGGGTCAAAGTTAAAGCATCTGTCAACAAATAATAGACGGTATCTTTTGCCTTTGTGTCGGAGGACAAACGTTTTGTTCAGTTGTTGCCAAATCCCGATCAATATCACATTTTACCTTATGTTGAATTTTGAACCCTCACAGTAGCTCTTCATGTGCAGTAAATTTGTAACGTTAATCTTTTGTCCTTCTGTATTTATTTCCATGTGGCAAACTTTTAAATGAATCAATTATAAATAAAAAAACACAATTAGAGCGCCTTACATGTAATGTTTCATTCAGAACAACCTGAGACCCAAATCTTCCTGACCATTTAACTTCGGAGTCCCTCCCGGGAGGTTGGTGAATTGTTTAACAACCTGGGGGTCTAACAGGCTCACTGTAGTTCATTTTCAATGATTTCTAAGGAAATACCAACAAAAATCAAGTGTCTTTCCGAACCTTTGGAAGCACTGGTTTCTTCCCGTTTTTATAATAGGTTACAGTGTATGCATTTCTACGGACAACCATTCAATGCAGGAAAAAACATATGATGCTTTTTTGGCATAGAACACAAAATCTTCTTAAACCTGGAAAGCCAGGTAAATGTCTGCTTTCCTGCCGTTGTGTGCCCATCAGGTAGAATGTCCTTTAACTTTGCAGGATTGTACTTCTCTTTGCAACCCTCTGACTTACTGTAAGCAATGTGTAATGAATCGATAATCTTGTTTGCTTTCAACCACTCGTCAAAAGGTGGATGAAAGCGCAGAGCCTTCTGTGCGACATTGATTCTATCCACATGGCACATGTCATGTGATATGAAGATCTCACTCCATTGGTCCTCTGGAATGTCTGTAACGTGACAAGTATCCATTCAATTAAGAAAAGGATAGCCTGCGAAGGACTTTCAGATCTGAAATGAAGGAGAAAATAAAAGAAACTAAACAATTTCGGTCGATAATGACTAAAGTCATTCCTGTTATTCGTCAAAATTACTTGGCTGAAATGACAGCAGCGGCAAATCAATATTTTTGAGTCAGTTGTCATTTTTTTACTTCACTAAATGCGTATGAAATTCTAGCTGTCTGATAGTACTGTGTTCACATTAGCATGATACTCATCTTTATTAATAATTTAAACCTTGCTAGCCCAGCTAAACTGTTGCAAGGAAATACACAAACGACTACACTGTAAAATAGTGAAGGGCTGTCACAGATAACATTTTAACAGGCAAGAACTGATCAATTGGGCAAAATGTTTGAGGTAGCTCTATCCAGCGGAGAAATCTCTATCCAGCGGACCAGTATTAGCGAAACTAATTGTACTTAATCCACTGAGTAGAGATTTATCTGGTGGATAGTGCTATCCACCTTTTGAAAAATTGGCACCAGGTTTTTTTATGTGGTGCATGTCGATATGTGACGAAAATTGACAATGTGGAATGTTAAGTCATCCATCTTATCATCAAAGTATTGTAAGTCGTCCAAAAAAATGATGTTTGTAAATATTGGAGCCTCTACCTTTTTGCTCACTAATGTGAAGCAAGTATAGCCTCTCAGACACCTTTGCTTTGTACGGATACTTTATCCCTTTGTTGCGAGTATATGTCGGAAGATTAAAATCTTCCGGCGCTTCAGTGCCATCTTGAAAGACGAGGATTTGTTTTTGGAGGTTGAAGTGTGCTGATGCTTCAGCAACGATGACATCCTTTGTTTCCCCACTGACCATAAAAGTCCCGCTTCCTGATTTAAGGCGGTATCTGCGGCCTTTCGCATCCCAGTGTAAAACTGAGACTGGAAATAATCTGTTCTTAGTGGAAAAAAAACATAGCGTCGATATCTTCATCTTCTTGGATCAATGGGATTTATCAGCTATCTCGTCAAGAGAGTCAGAGTTTTCTGCTAGATCGTCTGATCTTCGATAAAAGAAAAGCATTCTCTCTGCCAACCCATTTTTTGAAGCCACAATGTTTGGCAAAACTGACTCCAGGAACTACTGAGGAGTGGTAAAAGCAAGGAGGGCTATCTGAGGTCACACCAACTCGCTTGCCTTTTGTCCCTCTAAGTACGTACCAGAAATCACCATCATAACATCTACAGAGGCGTTCTGTTGAGAGGCTCATCTGAGATGTGGACTTCCCTTGAGATGTTAGTCTTTGAAGGAGAGAGTACGCCTCATCCACACACAGGATTGGCACTGTGAATACTGTAATAAATAATAATTTATAGCTGATAAATACGTATAGTCAAATTTAATTGCATGAGCGTGATTCATATTACTACTGTGCATGCTGATGATGTAGCAGAGGGAATTTCTTGTTATACAATATTTCAACTACCAAGTTAACAATGTTAAAACAATTGGTTCATGTGTCATCTGTGTGTTTATCACGATATAAAGCATCCTGCAAGTTTCATGGAGAGCAGTTGACTCAATAAGCTAGAGTTGCTCTTGGCTACGCATTGAGCAACTCTTATGCATCTCTCGTGCTCTCCAACAACTTCCTGCGTGCTTCACATCCCGATAAGTCCATGATGATGCATTAATCAGTTGTTAACTGTATCAAATTGTTCATATTTCATTATACATGGCATTGAATTAATAAATGTTTTGCTTGACACAGAAATGAAGATAATTTCTAATATTTCTACTCACCTACCCCTAAATGGAAATGGGAAAGGCCCTAGGGGACCCTCATACAAAACAGACGGGAATGTTTGTTGTCTTGCTTAGGGTTTTCTGGGCAAAACACGAACATTTTAATACACTAGGGTTGCACGTAAATAAATGAAGAAAGATAAATTACATTTTAGTATTTGTAGTATCTTTTGGGCATCACAGAAAGCTTGAGTCAAGACCTGATTGGTCTCCTTTGGGGTTTTATTTCAAAATTTCCAGTAATTTTCCCTGTCTTTTTCACATGGGAATCCCTCCCCTGCCCTTCAGGATGTTGGACACAAGTTCAGTAGTCCTTGTAAATAACCCATTAAAGAAAATTTCCCAAAATTCAGTTGCATAGGTATCTGACAAATCCACATTTTTAGCAAATAAAACAACTCTTAATTCAATTCATTGATAATATCATGTTTCTCAAGATTTCCATTTCAGTTGTCATGCTATCTTGGATTTGACCAGTGTCACGCAATTTTCTTGAAACAAGGAACCCACTGTCTTTCATGTTTATAAGATTAGCTTGAGCTTGCTAAACCCAAAAGAAAATAGGCAATGTCTAAAAAGAAACTAACTTCCCAAGAAATGGTCGAACAGGCCACTTGACGATGTTTCATCGATTACAATACTCGCATGTATTTTGTCTTCGACATGGCCCACAATTGGCTCTACGCAACCTTACTGGCACGCTGGTGTTTTCCCGTTCCAGAAGGAGCAGTACCAATAAGGTGAAGGTTTGCCGTCTCCTCGTATGAGCCAAAAAGCTTCAGTGTTGTATGAGCCAGCAAAGATCTCGTGGATACCAGCGCAGAACAAAGCAACATCCGCTTGTTGTGCCATTGCTATAAGCAAACGCTGTCAGCCATTGGCGAAGACATAGGGGTAAAACTTTGTCGATAGGAAGGCGAATTTGGCCCAGCTGCGACTCCAGTTCCGCAGTCGATGTGACATTACTTTGTCTGTCCATGATATACACACAAAAAAGCGAATGCTTAAGGGTTCAAAGCTATGTACGATGCACGTTATTAACAGATCCTTTGAAAGCCGGAAAACCTGGCGGGAATGAGCTTAAGACGGGCACATCAGTCAGCGGTTGTATTTTGGCAGTGTGTGGTTGTGGCGCGAAAACAACGGGCCAATAATTGTCCCAACTGCCCCACATGGCCAAACTGGGCTAAATAGCCCAAATGACCCAACTGCCTTATATGGCCCAAATGGCCCAACTGGCGCAAATGACTCCAAAAACCCAACCATGAACCAAAGCCGTCATTAAATTATTAAAACATTTATTATTTATCAAGTTATCTAGTTGCCATTTTATTTATTACAGCATGCATGTATTATTAATATGTATCAAGTTATCCAGCTGTCATGCTATCTTTCGGTTGACCGATGTCATGCAATTGCTGTTAACCGGTATACGAGGACCCAGCCCTCCAGAAGATTGATATAGTCCAGATTTTTCCTGTACTACCTGTCCTGGGATGTTGAGGGCATGAAACTAGCTTGTTTATGGAATAACGGATATCCACTTGAGTGACTGCAATCTCCTTCTTGAAACTGGACGAGCATTTGCTGAATTCATCCGACATTTTACTTGCAAGGTAGCTATGGTATGATGTAAGCCTTGGCAATTTGCTATTTATGAAAATACAGATGAAGATACTAGGCCGAAGTAGAGATTCTTGGGAATCAAAATGGAGAATGAATCGGGACGAGAAAGCTCTAAAACTACCCTCTCAAACATGGATTATTCTCGGCCGCACGTGGACCTTTAAATCGCAATATTCCTCTCATCGAATTTCACATTATTTTCCCTTTCTTTCTCGTTCTTTGGAACCATCAAACATTGTAGAATGCTTTTAATTTTGCACTGTAAAGGAGGTTTCTAATGTAAACAAAGGGGTTAACTGAATTTATTTTGAGACAATGCCAGTTCATCATCGCACCATTTTATGAAGCAAAAAACCACACTTTGACGGCACATTGACCGCATTTTGATCCCATGGCTGGAACTCTTAAGTATGATTTTTGAAAACAGTGTACGCAAGGCTAACTGTAGGCAAAGTATCAGGCATTCACCAAATGGGTGACTGACTGTGGGATTCTGGATCTTTACATCAGCCACTCTTAAGGCGTCTATAATTTTCACCCAATGAATGTATGAATGAAGAATCACCCTACGTATACCCCAGTGTAAAATTCAATATGGTAGGAAAACAGTCTTTTTGGAAATGTCAACCCTATTTTACGCTGGGCTTTTGAAAGTGTGAGGAAATGAAATGAGTTTTGTGAGTTGAATAATTGTTATAATTGCTGTTACATCTTCTGTAGTGCAGGCACGGGTGTGGCAAGTGGAATCAGGTGGAATGTCACAATCTCTATCAAAATGGACACAGAACTCCTTCTGGCCATATGATGATGGTGACCTCTGCACTGCCTGAGGAGTTTTGTTCCCTCGCATTCCTCTCATTGACTGTTTGTTGTCTTGGATACAGCGCTCCTTCTTGAGATCAGTGGCATAATTTTTCCTTTCACACTACCTTGGATTAACAAATTGCCCATGAAATACTCTGAGCAGTCTTCTTAGAGTACAATGCCTTGATGCACGTGAACCATATTCACTCATAAAGCCAGAGTTAAAAGAAACTCAAGTTGCCAAATAAAAACAAAACAAGAAAAAAATAAACGACAATGAAATTGAAAGTGCAACACTTGCAAAATGCAAATTACGTTGTTCAGCTTCTTAAACATAGCTATCATGAAACTTACAGTTACTCATCTGCATTTTAATTAGGTCACCCTTCCCGCATTTTTTAGATACTAAAAATAAAAATTTGGTTGAAAAATCGGGTCACATCGTCTTACCTTATTACTTGTGTTATTGTCATGGTTTTTATGCTATAGTGGACTGTAAACAGTTACATTTTGATTTTATAATGTCTAAAGCAATTCTGCAATTACAAAGGGACTTGTGGTGATGTATTACATCTTAACCATTGTTTGTCCTCAGACTTTATATAAAGGCCAGAGTCCCATGCTGCTTTCAGTACAAGACCATAATCATATACTGTAAAGTTCTTGTGCACATGCTTCTGCGTTTTCATTGCAAATAGGGATCTTACTACTTTTTCAGTTTGTTTGCCATGACGAATTGCTGTGGATTTGAAAGATCCTTTGCTTCAAAAATGCTTTTTAAAAGGCCTCTGTCGGCTCCTTTTCCCTATGAAGCACTTTCCCGAAATTTGAGTTTACATTCTTCAAACCATCTGGGGTCCTGAGCTTGGCTTACAGTGTTGATCTGGAGGTCCCAACCTCGTTCAATGTTCTTGCTAATGCATTGCACTTGGTGAGGTCATGTGACAGTATTGGGGAAAGGCTTATTTCTAGTTCCTGTTTTAAAGAGCCCAAGAAAAGGATCGATTTTTTTTCGTTTAGGGCTAATACATTCTTCTACATTGGTGATAAAGGTGTTTGCAAAGATTACTCAAATTCATTTCTTCTCTTTTCGATGTGATATCTGTTTGATATTAGTACATGAAGGCCCCTTGTTTGACACTAATACGTCACACACACTTGATGGTAAATTAAAGTGTGCCGCATAGCCATCTTCCTTTAAAATATGCGTCTCGAGAGGTGTAAAGAAGTTTGGAGTGACTTAGAAGAAAAGGTACCCCAGGAAAATTTTCCCAAAAAACAGGACTGGTTTTGTGAATAGGAATTCTGCAGATTCCTAATGTAAAAACCATTGATGGTAAATCTGAGTACTTGCCATTGATGTATTTTAGAAGGAAAACATTAATGGTCTTAAGAGATGTAACATTATGGAATTTATTAACATCACATCAATGTGAAAAAACTTTCCATCATGGTTTTAACAGTATTTCCCATTAGTGGAAAATTGCAAAACCATTGAATGGGTTTTCAGAGGAACACATCCATGTTTGAAGAAATTCCCATCATGGTTTAATAACATTTACCATTGTGAAAAAGAAAAGTAACACAAGATGTGTTTAAGAAGAAACACATTCACGGTTGACAAAACTTCCCATCATGGTTTAATAGCATTTACCAATGTGAAAACTCAAATAGCACAGGATGGGTTTATGAAGAAAGACATACATATTGGACTAACTTCCCATCCAGAATGACACTTGCAGACTGCAGACTGTTAATCGGTCCGGAATATCCCTAAATTTAAGGAGAGGGCCAATTGGTCACGTGACACTTTTCAACCAATGAGAAGGCGCGCTTGTGTTTATCAAAACACAAATCAAAACATCGCCCCGGTGATCAAAAATTTTCACAACAGTGGACAGGGTCCGACAGAATCAGTCATCGTTTTGAGGCTCTCATAAGACTTTCCATGAGGCATACACAATTTTTTTAAGTGGACAGTGTATCGGAAGCCATACTGAAGTGTCTGCCATGAAATATTCAGCACATTTTAAGGCTTATTTCTTCTTTTAAACAATGCGATGTGTAGGCGAGATTTTGGTTGGTTTTCAAGGTAGGTGAACAAGTGTCTATTATTTT